GTGTGTGTGTGTGTGTGTGTGTGTGTCGGGCCCGTGGGGACACCTTGTCACGCCGCGTCCACCAGGGGGCAGGCCGTCCCCACAAGTGGCTGGTGCTCCAGGGCGTCCGGCCGCGTTCCCGGGGAGCTGGGCCGGATCTGAAGGCTGGGAACCCCGGAGCCCAGAAGTGCCCCAAAGGCGTCCACCCTTGAGTGGACCTGGGGTCCCTTGGCTCAGCCCCCAGTGCCGGCCCCGCCTTCAGCCTGCATCCCCCGGATTCTGAGGCGCCCCCGTCGGTGGGGCCGTGCGGCTGGCAGCGGCGCCCCCTTCTCCACAGCCACCCCGTCGCGGATTGCGAGCGAGCGGGAGGTGCCCGGCCGTCCCGGGGGCAGGGGCGGGCGGCCAGGGGGTGGGGCCCACGGCAGGGCCGCCTCCCCTCTTTCCCGGAGCCTGGGCGGAGAGGGAGGAAAACTTCCTGGCCTGGGCCCCGGGCCGCTCCGTCCGCCAGCCCCGCGGTCCCGCCCACCGGCGCCTTCCCTGGCTCCCCAGTGTCCGCCATGGCCAAAGCCTACGACCACCTCTTCAAGCTGCTGCTCATCGGGGACTCGGGGGTGGGCAAGACTTGTCTGATCATTCGCTTTGCAGAGGACAGCTTCAACAACACCTACATCTCCACCATCGGTGAGCCCGCCGGCCGTGCCCCCGACCCCCGGCTCCCCCCAGGCCCTCAGCCCTGCGTCTCCACCGGCGGTGAGCCCGCTGGCCTGTCCCACACTCTCCCAGCTGCCCCAGGCTCCCAGGTTACTAGTCGCCCCACTTTTCAGTCCCCCAGCGGGAGGCTTCTAAACTCTCAGCCCCTGTCTCAGACCCATCCCCCGCACATCTCTCGGGATGGCACCCAACCTCTGACCTCTCCGCGGCCTCCAGGTCACTTCTCCGCTGTGCCAGCCCCTCGTTTTCCTGCTACCACCCTTCTCCCTCATCTCCCCACATGCACAGGAACCCTTTTCTATCTCCCGCCGCGCATCGCTTCCTCACCCCCACCCGCCTAGAACTCTTGACCCTCTCTGTATTTCCTGTACCGCCCTCCCTGAACGTGCTTTCCAATTCCATTAGCCTCTTTCTGTCCTGCTGAGCTTGAAACCCTCCCATTGCATCCCCACCTTACCACTTCCCAGTCTCCCTGCCCCTCAACTTAATGGTGGTGGGCAGGGTGGAACAGAGTGGCCGTCTGTGCTGGAGTGTGGCCCAAGGACTGGGACGGTGAGTATGCAGTCAGCCAGGCAAGGGGGGTGGGAGTGGGGGGACTTTTGGGGGCTCTGAGTCAGCCTGGTGACTCAGCCTCCTCCCCGGGCTCCCAACAGGCTCTGGGGAGGTGCCCACATTTCCACTAAGAACACTGCCTCCCCTCCTCCCTTCTTGTCTTTTTTCATCTCCTCTGGCCTGGGAAATAAAACAAGGGGAGTCTCAAAACAATTCTGGTTAGAAAAGGGAAGGAAAGGGGCACTGGGTAGCTCAGTCGGTTAAGCGTCTGCCTTCAGCTCAGGTCATGATCCCAGGGTCCTGGGATGGAGCCGCACATCGGGCTCCCTGCTCTGTGGGGAGCCTGCTTCTCCCTCTGCCTCTGCCTGCCACTCCCCCTGCTTGTGCTCGCTCTCTGTCAAATAAATAAATAAATAAATAAAATCTTAAAAAAAGAAAGAAAGAAAAGAAAAGGGAAGGAAAATGCCCCTCTTTCCTAGTTCAGTCTCAGGAGGACTCTTTCTTGCTTGCAAGCGTGGCCTGCTAGTTAACTCACACAAACTGGCATCATTACCTCTTTCCTGGCTCTTTATTCTGTCGGGCTGGAGGGTGGCTGGAGCACTGAGAGTACAGGGTTTTAGGAAAACAGAAGGGAAGAGGAATCTGAAAGTCATATTTTGAGGGAGACACTGAATTAAGAGAGCTGTCAACTGGTGCGGCTGAGTGGACCTAAGAGGTGCCTTAAGTCTCCCTGTGGAATTTCCATCACCTCCCCCTCCCTGAGCTATACCATCTCAGTAGAAACAATATGCTTACTAGACAAATACAGCTTTGAGAAAATTCGCGTTTTACGCTTGCAACAAGGTTGCTTCCCAAGTGCACCGGCCTGCAGAATTCCTAGCACTGGGGCTGCTCCGTTCCCGTGTCTCCCCTCGAACACCCTACGTGCCCACAGGGTCTCAACTTAAGTGTGTGCGCTCCCCTCCTAGGAATTGACTTCAAGATCCGCACTGTGAATGTAGAGGGGAAGAAGATCAAATTGCAGGTCTGGTGAGTGAACCCCCAGGACTGCTGGGCACATTCCCTCATTTCCCTCCCAGCACCGTTTCCCTCCCACGTTGCTTCATCTCTCTCCCTCTCCCGACCGCTCCTTCGGGTACTTCTCCCAGGCCACTTCC